TTTGCGTCTTTGAATAAATATACTTTATACGTCTTTGATCTGTGGTATTGTCTGGGCAAAGATAAAGTGGGAAGACTTGGAATTTTGGAGGGAATTATTTAAGGAACGCGTTCCGTCCTGAGGTTTTATGCAGCCTGTGGATGAGCATGTCTTTTGTCCTGTTAGCTCTCTTAGTTTTTTTTTATGCATATCTCCTTTATCTGTGATACATATCTATCTATATATATATATATGAAACAGAGAATGCCTGTCTTTCTGTCTGTTTGATAACTTTTCACTCGAGATTCACCGAACGGATTTTGTCCAAACTTGGCACATACATTGGACAATGTAAGAGATAGGTTGTTACCGTAAAAATCGATAATTTTTTAAATATCAATAATCTATGAAGCCGATCAAAAATCGATAAATTCAACTTTTTTCCTCAGATTTTGTTCAAACTCTGTATGCAGGTTACTTACATCATGATGAGCTCAGCGATACCTCATTTTTATTCATATGCCACTGCGTTTAGCGAAAACTACAAAAAAACGAAAAATCGATTTCAACACAAATTTTAAACTGAAAACTCCCTCAATTTTCAAGCAATACAAACTTCACTCAACTTTAGCCAATAATAAGTTGATTGTTTAACAGTCATTTAACCTGATAATTAAGTCCACCCATATAGTGAAAACCTGCGTAAATAGCGAAAAATGGCGATTTTTACTGGTTTCTTTCTTATTTTTCGTTTATAAATGTGTCACCTTTTATATCCCTGGTAGCAAACTGAAAAAATGAATTTCAAAAACTCCCAAATAATTGTGGTCTGAAGTGCGTCTTCATGTTGCCTATTTTACTCCTTCATGTCCTCGGCTAACTTCGATTGGGTAAATACAGACAACTTCTGTTATATCAGTAATTGTATTAATTCAAAATGTTTTTTAATGAAAGTACTTTAAAGTAATTGAAGAAGATAGACTCAGTTACACCTAAACATGATGCTGTTTTTGCTCCATTCGAATTAAACGCTTTTTCTGATCGACCAGCTGAGTATGGCTGCTAGTTATCTTTATTACTGCACATTTTCTTTCAGCCATTCTTTTTTAGCTCGTCCGCATTTGGTCCTTATTTCATTTTATAGTTTTCTATATTCCGTTCCATGTTTGGCATGGTTTTCTGTCTTCTTTCGATGATGTCGAGAAATTCATTTGTGATCTATTTGTTTCTTTTCGTCCATTTTCCTTTGGGATGGTGGCGTTTGCTGCAGTCACTATAGCTTCTCTTAGTGTACTCCATTTGGAGTTTCCATGTCAATTTTGTTCCACGTATTTTCTTTTCACACTGTCCGTATATTTTTCGTTCAACGATCTGCTGTGTTGCAATTTGGGTGCTGCGTTAGTCTACTTCAGTTTCCATAGTTTCATATAACAGGGAGGCGGCACTTGGATAGATTTTGCTGTGAACAACTACATTCCTGAATCTCTTGTTGATATATATATATATATATATATATATATATATATATATATATATATATATATGGTTTTAGTTGCTTTTGCTGGGCTTCTCCATTTTCTTGTCTGGGCTTCTCCATTTTACATTGTTTTGGGTGTTCTTAGAACCAGGTGTTGGTTATTACCTGATCATTCGCCGTGGATATTGGGCAGATTTTTTCTCTGCGTTCGTTACAGGTACCTTGTTCGACTTTACCAGCTATTTCACCATCCCTCTCCTTTTCTACTTTAGCATTCAGCTCTACCGTAATAATTATAATTTCTTCTGATTTACACTGAGCATTGGCGTTCTCTAGCATGGCATAGAAAGATTCGATTTCCTCCTCCGTACTCTGTGCTGTCGGTGCATACACAATTATAACATATATGTTGAAAGGCTTATCTTTCGATCTAAAGACAAGAATTATTTCAGATAAATGACAGTATTTCGGAACGCATTTCTTCATGTCTTGATCTAGTATCAATCCAACTTCTTTTTCATTTTTCTCTCCGCCTGCATATAGAATCCTGCGGCTGTCACTGACAAAATCTCCGCTGTTTGGCCTCCTAGTTTCACATACACCTAAAATGTTCACATTTAACCTATTCATCTCCTGTTTTACATTTTCCAACTGTTTAACGATCTAACGTTACATATCCCGAGAGTTATTTTTTGTTTGATGCGAACAGTCGCTGAATGACGGTCCGGTTATGCTTGTCGTTCATACCGTTCATTTCTGGGCGATTGATAAGTTCCGAGGAATTTTATTCCTTTTATGCCGTTTATAAAATACCGACGGACCGGAAATATTACAAAAATGAAGTCGAACCTACACTAGCCACATTGAACAGAAACAAAGTAGCAGGGCCAGACGTAATCGTAATAGAGACGCTGGCAGCCTTAGATGATTTCGGCATAGACAGAATTACAGAAATAATAAATGAAATCGACAGCAATGGTGATATACCTGAAGACCTAAGCAGATCTATTTTCATAGCACTGTCTAAGAAATTAGATACAAACG